CGGAGTAATACACTTCCCATTTTTTTCCTCTCCCGTTCCAGACTTAACACACATCCGCTCAACTTTCCTTCTTCTCTATGAACCCCAACTCCTCTATCGATCGATCGATTTTCGAATCGAATGCCCAACCGGTAGATCTTGTTTGCACCTTTCTTCTTTCGCCCACCATCATCGAAATTGTTGAACATAGTAGCGCGCAGAAGCAGGTCGTCTCCTCCACTGGGCAACAGATCGTCGCCGCCTTCGCTCCTCCGTCGCCTTTGTCGCCTCCATCAATTCCTTGGCCGTGTCTGTAGCCGTCGTCATCGTCTTAGGAAACCGAAGAATTTCAAACCGCTGCAGTGCCTGTTGAAACTCCTCCTCTTGACGAACCGCTTAAAGGAAATCCGTCCGCTGCAACCATCGCTACGGAGTGCTCACGAAGCTAGAATTAAACCGTTGATTCCCATTTTGCCTGAATATCTCCCAGCTCAGCTTCACTTGAGGTCTTGCCGGCTTAATCCACCTGAAAATTTAAGGCTTTCTCAGATTGAAAGCTTGAGGTATCAACCCTAACTTTTTTAACCTTTCATTTCCTGTTGAGATTTTCATTCGCCAATAATCATGATAATATTCTTGAGTATGGTTCCAGCCAACAATTTTCATTGTCTTTTAATTTACCTTTATATTAAAAGAAGATGAGGAAAGGAGCTAGTTGGATAAATTCCAACGTATAGTGGAGGTATGGGTTCATTTTTGGATTTATCTCTTTATTGGCCCACTAATGAATACCTGGGTATTGTTTTGTTGGCTTCTATTTGGAGAAGCTTTAAAGAAAAGAATAATTCATTTTGTTAAATGAATAGAAATGAAGCGGCAGGAGTTATGTTTTTTCTTTGGTTGGTTTGTAATTGCCGTATTACTCTTGGAGAAAAAGGAGGTCAAGCAACAGGGGTTTATTTTTATGCACATACACACCGAAGCAGGCATCCTCTTCTCGGTGAGTGAGTTTTCTGCCAACCATTTTGAAGATAACATCAGGCTACCTATTTGGAAGATAACAACAAGCTGCCTATTTTGGAGTTGATGTCCTTTTTGGCATATTTCATATTGTTATTGATTACGGGTAGTTTGTTGTTAATTGATGTGGTATTTCAAGTTGGGGTCATAATTGATGTGGTCTTTTAATGTATCAGGTGAAGTTTTGAACAATATCAAGTTTGAACCAGTTTTTTAATTTTCCCCTTAAGTTTCTTTCCTTTCAAATGTCTTGTATACTTTCCAAATTTGCTCCCCATTTGTTCTCCTAGTACTTTACGGGCTCCAAACGTCTTCCAATGGATCTATTCTGTCAGACTAATGGAAAACATGCTCTCCTTGGGTTTTCTAAAGTTAGCACTCCAGTGTGTCACTCCTTTGTTCCCTCTTTGGTTCATAACTGTCCATTCAGATACAACTAGTTTATAAACTTGGCATATATTGCAGAAAAAAATAGATGTCTAGTACTCTAGTAAGGCTAGTCTGCTAGCCAATTATGTATGCCCAGCAGCTAGTGAGTCCAAATAGTATTATAAAGAATAGTTAAAATATATAGGTTGCTATCAGAAAATAATACTTTGTAGCATTAGTAGTACAAATAAAACTATAAAAAGTATATGTGATCAAACAACCCGCTCGGATATTAGCTAAGGTGTGCTACAGTTAGCTTAGATTGATTCTATCAAATAAATCACGAAACGTTATGTATCAAATTATTTACCCAGATTCATCTCAATCCAAAAAGAGCAAAAATTTGCTACTACATTTATTTCAGGTGGCTCTAGACCTCTTCTGGGAGATGCATCAGTAATTATGGGAACACTTTTCTTCGCATTGAGTAATGTTGGTGAGGTTAGTGGATCTAAATCCTCTTGGTTGCCTTATAGGGAAATACTAGTATTTTGATGACTATTTAAAGCCTCAAACCTGTATATGAGACAAGAGTTTTGTGCGAAGAAGAAAGATCTGGTTGAAGTTATATCAGGAGTTTTGGCTGGGGTCAATCACGTTGTTATCCAATTTCCTGCATATGAGCATATCAAACCTTATTTTGCAAAAAGGGGTAAGAATTTTTCCAATCCTTTATTTTGTTGTGTGAAAATGTTTTTCTTGTCTTTCTTTTTCAGAGTAGTTGTGTTGACTGGAAATTTTCCAGATGGCAAGTGTACCAGTGATCTAGGAGCTGGAGAAGTTGCAGTTGCCTCTTCATTGGCCGAAATAGTTGCCTCTGTAATGAAGTGTACCAGTGATCTAGTAGCTTTTTGTTCTTTATTATTTTTTGTTGTGGGGTATGCCCCTTTTAATAATGTAGTATGCACATTCACATGTATGTGAGAATTTTAGATATATAATAAAAATGTTTGAAATTTTTGGTTATTTATTAGTATTAAATTATATAAGTGTGTGTGTGTTGCAATCAATGTATCATGTGTATGCTTTTATAGTACTAGCGTGTCATTGAGTTTGGCGATACCGTAGTGTCACTGAATTTTCTGATGTCGTAGTGTCATTGAGTTTTGTGATACCGTGGTGTCATTAAGTTTTGTGATATCATAGTGTCATAATTTGGTGATACAATAGTGTCACAATTTGGTGACACTTTTAGTGACACTTAAAAAGTGTCACTATTTCCCACTTTCATTGACACTTTTTTAGTGTCACAGAAACTTTCAGTGACACTAATTTGGTGTCACTGTAGGGCATTTTTCTAGTAGTGCATTCTGGAGGTATTTGCCCGATTTCTCTTCCTTTCTTCAACAAATACTTATAAATACTTATGTTAAACACAAGTAAATACAACGGCTATCAAGGGGACATCAGCGCAGCTCCTTCAAATGTGGTGGTCCCTCTCCCTCTTACAATAGTATATATATATCACAAATTACACTACAAGAAAATTGGAGTTTTACCCATACATGTATATGTAGGTAAAAGTATAGGTATGTGTAGGTAATCATTTTTGCTTACACATAAATTAAGTGTAGACATGTGTGGGTATTCAACTGTAGTTAAATGTTTTTACCCACACATAAATGTATGTGTGCGTAATACTGTTTATTTTTAGGCCTTTTTATTCAAATATTACTATTATTTAAGGGATTCCCAATAAAGTGAGTTAAGTTTCAAAAATCCAAAAATATGGCTTTTCTGTTATACACCAAACCGTTGCACACCCAGGAACATGGCCATTAATACGCTCAACACCAATCCATTTAACACCATGTATAACTACAAGGCCATAAATGAATTTTAATACTAAAAAGGTTAAAAATAGGAAAGAGTTCCTCAACTGCCACTGTTACCACCGGCACCACCAATAGTCTTGCCGCACCACCGCCTAGTGACTTGCTCCGGCCATAGTGACCGCCGTCCAGTGACTTGCTCCGGCCATAGTGACTGTCGTCCAATGACTTGCTCGGGCTATAGTGACCGCCAACACGAGTCAATATCTCAGTGACTACGGCCACAATGACCGTCCGTCACCGGTCACAGTGACTGCCCACCGCCACAGTTACTGTCCACCGGCAACAGTGACTGTCCACCGGTCACCGTGAGAGCCTGTCACCGCCACAATGACTGCCCACCGATCACAGTGACCCGACCAAAGTGACTACGCCCCTTTCCCGACCAGTAACTGTCATTGTCCACCCCTTCCATTGACCCACCTCAAACCAACCACTCCAACTAACCAGCGGCCAGCGCACCCCAACCCAAGCCCGAGCCCCAGTCCACCACACCCCGCCCTAGCCTCACCGCACCACGCACAATCGATGTCCAAGACCTTACCTCCACCTTGCCATCAACCACCTCCGCCCCCGCTGCGACCACTCCCGCCGGCTACCGAGATGACAGACCCGGCACTGGCGGCACCAAGGACGGCAGATCCAGCACCGGCGGCACCAAGGACGGCAGATCCAGCACCGGCGGCACCAAGGACAGCAGATCCGCCACCGGCGGCACCAAGGACGGCAGATCCGCCACCGGCGGCACCAAGGACGGCAGATCCGCCACCGGCGGCACCAAGGACGACGGATCCAGCAACCGCGGTGACCCTGTGATAAACTTCCATCGAAGATGACGGCGGATCTGGCCGCAGTCGGCAATCCAGGAGCTCAGAGATTTAGATCTTTGTTCTGATCGAGTTTTACGAGGAGAAGGCGGCGAAGGCGGTTTGAAATAGAAGAAAATCGAAGAAGTAGAAGAAGACAAGGGTCCGAGTTGTGGCGGCGGCGGACGAATTCGTAGGTGTGGCGGCGGCAGACAAATTCGTAGGTGTGGCGGCGGTGCAGACACAGTGGTGCAGCGACAGTAGCAAATCGGCCGGAGCGGTGGTGGTTGGAGAGCGGTGGCAATGGCTTGAGAGATAAGTCTGGGAGGTGAGAAGCTTGTCTTGCGTCGATGGCTGCTTGGCGGAAGGGAAAGTCTGAGCAGAGAAAATAGATGCGTAGGTCTGTGCGGAAGATGACGAGTCATACTTTTGGGAAAGTTAAAATATAATATATTTATGGAAATGAAAAGGCTGGTACTAATATACACATGTATGTGTAGGTAAAACACTATATCGTGTGTTGCTGTTTGTCATGTACACACCGTCTTGGTGACATGGCATCTGACGTGGCACGTGACGTGGCACACGACGTGGCACGTGACGTGGCAATTTAGTGATTACGTGGCACACATGGAAAATGATGTTATTTTTTTTGGAAACATACAGCCACGTTAATAAATATATATAGGTGTAGGTAAAACGAAACGTAAGTGTGGGTAAAAGTATTGTCTGTGTGTATCTACTGATAATTATGGGTTGGTACGACTATTCTTTTGATTTAATTAACGTTTATTTTTTACGAAATAGACCTATATAATAATAACAGAACACATCAATATAATACAAATTGAAAACAAGCTCATTCAAAATCAAAATTATGTCGGTAGATTGACAATGCATAATACTGATAATAATAAGTATCCTCCATGAGAATTTAGTCTTCAATAACAACACCAAATAAAGGAAAACAAGTTCTTATGCCAACACATAGTAATCAGTGTCATGCACTTCAATAAATAATGTATTGCGTGTTCTGATCTCAATGCTATTTCTACTCGACATCATCAAATTCAGAAGTAGAGTCAACATAGCCATCAATAGGCTGATCTCGGCCAATAGATGATGAGTCACGATTGTGTGCTCCCGAACAATGATCTGATGCAACTTGTGGCATGGGAGGAATGATGTTCTTCTCAATCAACAATTTCCTCATCATTTCAACTGTGCCAACCAACTCACTATAGGTAGGAAGGTTTGAGTCATTTTTACTTCTTTTAGATCCAGAGGGAGACCGTCCCCAACCAAACAACCGAACAGATTGTCGTCCAAGCACATTTTCTAATATTTGCTTATCAGTCAATTTCTCAGGTGGGTTATCTCTTCTCAGTTGCATCATTTCTTCCTGTTAGGTTTTTAAAGCAATAGTATTTCATTAAAATGTTTGCACAACATGCCTGATGGGCTAATAACATATATATTTGATATAAATTTTACTTACATATTTAGATTCTGCTTCTGGAGATATCCAACCACGCTCTGGATGCCAATGACGCAGGCGCCATGTCTCGATATGTCCAACTGGGGCATCTAGATCAACTCCACGACTAACGTGATGACGAGCTGTACTTTTAGAACCATTTCTAGAATTGTATTTCTCTTTTTGCGTGATTCAGCATTCGTAAGAGCTTTTTCCTATAACAATAGAAAATCACATTACAAAAATCAAGTCTGCACACTGCTTATAACAATTATCAGTCCACGGTCAGCATAATAAATATAAGTTCATGCCCTCATACTACTAAAAAAAACTTATGAAGTACAATACAAAACAGTTTAAGGCTTAAAACAACCTTATACATGTCGTTAACAAAATCCAATTTCGGTCCACGGTCAGCATAATAAATATAAGTTCTTTAAACTTTAAGTCACATTGCGTTCGGACAATATATCCAATTTCGTTATTGAAAGCCTCTGCATTAGCGCATATTGCTTTCAAAAGGTCAAAGTCGAACTGTACCGTCAATCTTGTCTTGGCACTTTTCATTGCTTTCCGTGCACCTTGGCTACAAGTTTTTCCACGCACATTTGACCCTTGTGATATAGTTTCGTTATTACCAGATGACGCTTGGTGGTTCCCTAGAGATTGAGCTGTAAATTAAAGTACATTACACGTTATCTACATTACATAATTACCAATGAAAGTGCCAATGCAAATAAACATTCAGAGAAATTGAAATAACTAAAGAAATACAGTATTAAATTGGTAAGTGTTGTCACTAAACCAGAAACAAAATATAAAACACAAGTGCAAAGAATGTACTTCATACGTTAGTAAAGTAAACTAACTACTAACGGGCCGTTTTATACTTACAAATTTGGATATTCCTTACCAGGTTGTTTCCTGGTAACAAGTTCATATAGTAACAAGGATATGAAATATGCTTATTGGTGTAAATTCCTTCTCAAAATACAAATTGATTAAAAAATAGCAAGTGCAAAGAATATGCTTTTTACTTACCAGGTTGTTTCCTTAATGCTCCAGCTGCTTGTGATGCTCCAGAAGCTTTATTTTTTGCATTACAAGTCAACATAAGACATAAGGAGTATATAAATAAACATTCATAAAAATCGAAATAACTAAATAAAATGAATAAAGTACACTATATAGTAACAAGGATATGAAATATGCTTATTGGTGTAAATTCCTTCTCAAAGTACAAATTGATTAAAATATGGCAAGTGCAGAGAATGTATTTTTTACTTACTAGGTCATTTGGTTGGTGCTCCAGTTGCTTGTGGTGCTTCAGTAGCTTTATTTTTTTGTATGATAAGTCAATGTAAGACATAAGAATATATAAACAAACATACATAAAATCGATTGATCGAAATCACTAAATAAAATGAATAAGTAATCTCAGAATCAGTTTCATATTACTTCAAAACTGCAAATATTCTTTTCCTTCTTACATCAACATAGCCTTTGTTAACATTGTTAATATGAAGAGTAATAATGTTATTGGAAACATGACTTATACATCGTGTACCTTACTACCCGATACATTATATCTGCAACATAAGCATTACATATTTATATTCATGTCATAAGTTTACAGCCTTACATACTCTGAATTTATTTATTCATGCATTTCATACTTTGAATTTATTTATTCAAGCATCTCTTTAAATAACCTGCTCCAAGTTTAAATTTAATAGCGAGGATACACCTTGCGGAATATCTTATGTCGCACCTCATCTCATTTAACGTGCTTATTGATGTGGGTTCTTTCTCAAAATATTAACTCATTAACACATAACAAGTGCAAAAGAATGTGTGTTTTTCACTTACCAGGTCGTTACGTTTGTGCTCCAGTTGCTTGTGGTGCTTGAGTAGCTTCATTTTTTTATATGACAAGTCAACGTAAGAAATAAGGAGTATATAAATATTCATAGAAATCAAAATAACTAAATAAAATGAATAAACTGGAAAGTGTTACTAGATATTACATATAACACATTGAAACTAGCCATGTTTTGGATGTTATAACAGTAAATACGTGTTACTTACCAGGTCGTTTCATTAGAGCTCCAGATACATGTGGTGCTTCAGTAGCTATATTTTTTAGTATGACACGTAAGACATATGAAGTATATATTTATAATAATAACAATAATAATAATAATATAACATTACTAAGAATAACATCAATCATATTAATAATAATAACCACAATTAATAGTTGTGTATTTTACTAACCAGATTGAAGTTGTTTTGCTAAAGATGAACTTGCAACTGAGTCCCTACCATGTCCAGCATCACGACTAACTTGTCCACTGTATCCACCTCGTCTTGAACCAGCCATGAGAAAACTGTCAAAGGAGAAACACATAATTATGGAACAGTCACAACAACAACAAAAGTAATTTTCAAATTTCTTTGATATGAGAAAACCTATGAATGATTTCATGTCATGCCATAGTTTCCTCATCACTCAAGTTTAGTTCGATTTCATCTGAATCATTATCACTCTCGGAATCTAAAGTCACATCTTGGTTAAAGAAAAGGGAACCATCATCATAATCTTCATTAACGTCATTATCTTCTAATGAATCTTCACGTCCAATAGCAGTAGACTTTTGATTACGTAATTTACGGACAACTTCATTGGGTAATGTTTCAGGTTCCAAATCTGGTCGAACTAACATAGATGAATCATGCATCTCTTCTGTTGGATGAAAACGTGGTAGCTCACTAGCATCATCTTCCTGAAATATCACACCGCTACCATTCTGATCATCATCGTGCTCGGGTACATCATATATGTACCGATGATTCACTTTTTGTACAACCATCCAATTCTTGCCTAAAGCTCTATTTTGCAAATAAAACACTTGTTGTGCTTGTGCAGCCAAAATAAATGGATCTTCAGCATCCCAATTTGACGATGTGTCAATAGAGGTCAACTTATGATTAACCACCATTGTTTTCCCCTTTGGATCAGTATTATACCACTTGCAACGAAACATGAAAACCTTCCTCCCAAGGATAAAATCGAGTTCTAGAATGTCAAGTAATACACCATAATAAATGTTATCACTATGATCATCACGAGTACAGACTCCGCTACATTGTGTCTTAAACTTATCATCTCGTTCTTTGCATCGGAACCTAACACCATTGACTATACAACTCTGCCAAATTGTGTAGTGATCATCTGGTAATTGAGACAAAGAATACAAATCGTCTGTAGCTTTTGGATCACCTTTTACTCTAAGGACAGCCATCTGAAAACCCAATATAAAAAATATAAACTCCAAAATTATTTAAATCATATTTAACTTTAAATATACTTTAGTTTTTTTACCTTGTTTTTAAACCAAGAAGGAAATTCACGTCTTTGTATGTTGTCCAGGTCATGTGAGTGTACATTTGTCAAGTTCACAAGCTCCTTATGCTCACTAAATTGATAAGATGATTAGTTATACCTAATTAAAATAAAAAAGTATGGAGAATTAATATTACAATGTTAAACTCACTTTATGTAATCATCAAGTTCTTCTCCACAATTGTTAAGAATATAGCATTGCACCACGTTGCCATAGATTCCAAGATTTCCAAATTTAGCAGCCCCGAGTGGACATATCTTGTTGTTAAACACATCTATCGTATACTCCACTGTAGATACATCCCAATTGCGTTCTGGACGTGTAAATCTCATCTCAACATCATTCAAATATCGAGACAAAAATGTAATAGTCTCGTCAACCACATATGCTTCAGTAATAGATCCATCAGGACGGGCATAATTACGGACATAACCCTTATATGTGCCCATACGTCGTTCTATTCCAAACATCCATCTTGGAGGGACTGGTCCTCCCAACAATGCTTGTTCAGGTAAATGCACACATAGGTGGACCATGATAGTAAAGAAGGACATTGGGAATATTTGTTCCAATTTTCATAATATGATCACAATCCCATTCTTCATGTCCTGTAGTTCCGTTACATAGAGTCTTGGCACATAATTTTTGAAAGAATTGGCAGAACTCTATTAATGTGGTACGTATTTTCTTATCAAAGAATGCAAGAATTGCTACTGGCAATATCTTTTGGAGAAGTTGTAACACCCCCAAAGTTATACCCAAAATAGAGGCTAATAATAGCGATAATAGATAGGATCACCCAAAATCTTTAATCCAAAATAGTTTAAATTGCAGCGGAAGCTTAATATTCAATGGGTGTTACCGCCACACTCGGTTCTCACATAACCGAATGCACAGGCTAAATCACAATCCAACAATAAACATTAATATGGAGTTCAAAACATAATCAAATAAAACAATAACAAGTTCTTAAATTCAGGTTTATTAAAGATAACTAGTAACTAATCTAAGTGATCTATCGGGGCTCTCATCATCAAGCATGCTCTTCATCACCTGCACCAAATTAAGTGCAGAAAAGAAAACAAAGCAAAGAAAATAAAAGTTAGCTTTTTAGCTAAGTAAGACCCACCCAACCCCGTAAAATAATATAGTTTGAGAATGTAGTTCTTGATACATACATAAAAGTCCAAAAATCGGCGAGGTAAAACAAATGTTTTCATAATTAAATAGTATAAGTAAGAAGGACGGTTTCACACAAATCCACATTTAAATACTTCTTTTCAAACTCATACATGATTTTCATCCACCAAACTCATATCCCCTAATTGTTTCTACATTATTTTAAGGATGGGGGAGCTCCCAAAAAGAGAACCCAGACCAAGCGAATACGTGGTTACCAACTACCACGCATCACCCCGGGTGTCCCAGACGGTTGCATAAGCTACTGAGATCACCTATGAACTGACCGATAAACCCGGACCCCACCACCCACCAATTGGAAACTGAACTTCTACCTTAAATGTGCACACCCCCTAAAAGGGATTCCAAGCCCTCCGAGTAGTAAGAAGTCCAAGTAGTCGAGACTAGCTAAGTCTCTACCGACTACCCTAGGAAAAGATAAAAGTGGACTAGGTGCTACAACTACCTCAAAACCGAAGCCAATGATAATATCCAAGTATCCAAAACCGCCAAAGAAACTATCCACCAG